GTATCACCGACGCGCGAGCCGCCATCGAAACGCTCCAAAGGGCTGGACGACGCAGGCAAGGAAGAGGGGTAATAAGGGAGGGAGGGAAGGGGTGTGTGGAGCCGATCAGCCACCCTAGCGGAGGAATGTCTCTAGGGAGAGTGAAGGTGAATCTTGCAGGCGGTCTACGCGATAGAACAAACGGGTAATATAGGGCATGCGAAAGCTTTCAACAACGCACGAACATAAAGGTTCGATGGTTCGAAGCGAATCTGCAACCTCAATCTCGCGCACCCGTTGTCCACCTCTTGGGCCGGCGTGCTACCCTATCTTGCTTACTTCTTTTTTTCCAATGTACTTCGTCACTCTAGAGGGAAGGCCGTGTCGCCATGGTGCGTGAAATCGCCCATCGCAAGTCCTCTCATCCGTCTACTCCAGAGCAGCCCCTCCTACTTCCTCGTCTGCGAAACGCGTCACCCAGACTCCAAGTATAGGCTCAATCCTGTTATCATCTCAAACACCATGCGCCTCTTTCTCCTCCTTCTCTTTCCTTTTTGACAATCGCTGCTCCTCTACCCATGTCTCAATCTTCGCCTTCAATTCTGGTAACGGCTCCAGATCCGTTAGACTCAACGGCTGACGGTTGAACGGGTCCGTAGGTTGGTTCAACAAATGTTGTTCGATCGCCGCCCGTTCCATCGCGTAGCCGGATGTGGGCAGCCGCACGGGGTCTTTCATCAACGTGCAGAGCAAGGGGTCCAGAAATTCGTCCGGCACCTCCACGCCCAAATCCTCCGCCTCTGCCTTTTCGGCCGCCGAGGCCACGGCGGTTTCCAGGGCCGTGCATGCCTCAAGCTGCGTCTCGCTCATGCCCCCCACCCGTTTCATGGTCTGCTGGACTTTGCCAAGCATCCCTTCGTGGTAGTAGCCCGACTCGGAGAGGGCGGTGTGGAAGGCAGGCTCCCCGGCGAAATGGAGGATGGTCAGGGCCACCTCCCGGAGCATCTCCTTGGGTTTGAAATTCAAAGCGTCGGGGTTTTCCACCTTGATCTCCAACCCTTTCGTCCCCACCAGCTTGTCTACGATCGAAAGCAGGGTGTTGGCCAGGCGGGGGGAGAGGGCGGGAGCGAGGAAGGGCTTGCGGACTGCCTCGTCACTGGTCAGGTACATGAGCATGTGGATGGTCTCGTTGCAGAGGAGCAAGGAGGACGAGACACTGCGCTCGTTGTCGTTGTGCCGCTCCATGATTTCGTTCCGACTCTCTTCCGGCATGGCGGCCCACGCCGGGCTGTCTTTCATCTGGAGCTGAACGGATCGGATCTCGGGGAGTTTCTCCATCACGGAGGCAACCAGAGCGTTGGTTTCGTTCATCAAGCCGTTGGCGAAGGAGGTGAATTGAGAGGTGTCGGAGGAGATCCTTCGGAAGGTCCGCCGGTGTTCGGGAGATCTCCAGAGGAACTTCAAGACGGCAGCGATGTGGAAGCGATGCTCGAGCTTGTCATAGAAGCCCGTGTGCTCCACGTCCCCATAAAGGAGGAGGAGGGCGGGCGCGAGGGATGCCTGGGCCAAGGGGTTGTTGAGGAGGAAGGAGGTGTAGACGCTGTGGCCTCGGGTGGCGGCGGCGGAGGTGCTCGAGTGGTCGAGCCGCTCCTCGGGGGGGAGGAAGACCAAGTAGAGCAAATCGCCGATTTTGGCGCGCAAATGGGGGGAG